TATGTGGCCCAAGTGTGGGTTTTTGTTCTTTATATCTCTATAATTGTGTCAAACTAAATAATTTTTTTTTAGGTTAAATTAGAAGAATTTTCATTTTTAATAGATTATAAATTTTTGAATAATTGATTTTAAGCGTATTAAAAATTTTAAAATTTGAAATATATTAATAAAATATAATAAATCTTTAATTTTATCGGAAAAAACATCTGGAAACCCTAATTGGAGTTCAACTTCAATAAAACTCAACTTATATGGTTTGACTTTATGTCATGGTAATTTGAATAACTTAAAACTCTGCTACTAAGTAGAAATTTCTATCCCTTATAAGAAATGTTTAGTTTTCTCACAATCCACTACTCTTAAGGGATCAATGTTCTCGTTGACACACTGTTTCGTGTCTAGTTTTTATATAATTTGTAATAGCATGAGGCTACCACTAACAAATATTGTCAATTTTGGCCCGTTACGTATCACCATCGAACGTGGATTGTGAGATTCCACATTGGTTGGAGAAGTGTGAAAATATCTCCTTAACATAGGCGTTTTAAAACAGTGTGATTGACGACCATACCTAACGGGTCAAAACGGACAGCCTCAAACTGTTACGTAACTTCATGAAGGTATAAATTTCATAGGCTGTCCCCACAGGGGGAGTCACATCCCCTCTTGCATTTGTGTATAAAACCTCATAAGTGGCCACTATGAATCTCCACCATTGACTCCTAGTTTGGTGGAAGAAGGAAACTAAACAATGGAAGGCATTAACAACATCACTAAGGGAACCTCCATAGGAACCCATGGTGTTCTTCCCGACAAGTTCAGAGCTAACCTGCATTTGGAGGCTCCCACTGTTCAATGGAGGTATGGGAAGCCTCCTACTTATGAATCTGCCAACAAGCTCTTTGAAGAGGGCCAATCCAAGGTTTTTTTTCCTTTTCTCTTTTGTAAAAAAAAAAAAAAAGAGTTATCTTTCAAATCTCGTGTGTAATTTAAGTTGTTTTTGTTTATGATTAGGTGTGGCCAAAAGGATCTCTGGAAGAAACAGTGCAAAATGCTGTGAAATCATGGCAAGTGGAGATTAACAACAAGGCTAGATTACAAGATTTCAAGACCATAAACACTGAAAAATTCAAGTTTTTTGTCAATGGTAAACAGTGTTTTTTGATGAAGGATTTGCCCACTGGAACGATTAGGTCAAAACTGACTACTAATAACAAAGTTTATCCTAAATTGATACCACAAAATTTACCCTTTTGATATGCAGGAAGAGAGGGGCTGTCAGGAGAAGAAGTGCTGGGGGACGGAAGCTTCAATGCATTGCTGAAGAGTTCTCTACCAGATGAGCATAAGTTTTACAAAGCAGAGGAAGAGACTCATGAATCTGCTCATAATGACTTCAAAACATGTTTTCCAAGAGGGTTTGCATGGGAAGTCATAGAGGTTTATTCTCCTCCTCCTTTGATTGCCTACAAGTTTAGGCATTGGGGTTTCTTTGAAGGTCCTTACAAATCCTATTCCCCTACTGGTGAAATGGTTCAATTCTATGGCATGGGAGTTCTCAAGGTAAAGTCGACATTTATTGAAGTTTTTGTATCAAACATATCTCTATACATGTTTAATGTTAGGCTCACGAGTATTCGTGAATCATCAAATAATTGTTGGGTTATGGAATTTACTATATGGGTAAAAGGTTATTATATCCGATAAAACGGTTGAATAAACAAGAGTCTTTGTAGATGAAAGGCACAAAGTTGTTGTTATAGGGAATAGTGACGTTTTTATTAGCTTTTATTATTTCAGTTTTAGAATCACGTGAATGCTTTAGTCAATATTTCTCTTTGCATTTTCTCTCTCTTGTTCCCGTCTAGATCGAATGTGTGCGATGTTGTGCGATCCTAACAACAGTGACGTGATTCTCTTCCTTTTTATTTTTTTACCCGCCTCATTACTTTGCCAATGATATGATATTTGGACAGGTAGATTCATCAATGAAGGTTGAAGAAGCTCATTTTTACTTTGATCCAGCTGAGCTATTTGGAAGTCTTTTAAAGGGCAAAAAAACTGCTGCTTCATTTATTATCTCTGGCTGCCCATTCTCTGATGCCCAGAAGTAGTTCAAAAGAACACAAAAATGATGGTCGTTTTATCTTTATATTAAGAATAAAGAACTTTGCAACAATATCCATTTGCTTAGCTCAGCTGTTTCTTAGCAGTTCTTACGTTGTTATGTTTGTTAATTGTACCCTTTTCTGTCGGTTGGTTGGTTCTTATTAAATATGAATAATAGTAAGTTGTTTATTAACGGGAAATCAATTACTGCTAAGCAAATATTGTTATTTTTAAACTTTTCCTTCCAAACTTTCTCTCAAGTTTTTGAAACGCGTATTCTAGAGAGAAGTTTACACACCCTTAATATTTTGTTCCTCTGTACAACTGACCTGTTACGTATCACGTTAGCCTCTCGATTTTAAAACGCGTCTAATAAGGAGAGATTTTCAAAATGTTTCGTTTCTCTCTCCAACCGATGTGGGATCTAACAATCCAGATGTTAAGGGTAGTGCCTTAACACTACATTATGAAAATCATAAAAATGTGCATGTCACGAAACTTAAATTCTCGCTTGTGACTCTCGAAGTTTGGTAGCATGAAAAATGGCATTGAGAAGGCGCTCGAGACATAATTGAGTGACATTATTTCCTAGATATTTCTAGCGGGATCGCTCCTTGTTAAAACTCTAATAATCCAATTTGCTTCCTTAGCTTCTATCACTCTTTGTTTAAATCATCGTTTAAATCGAAAATGCTCGAATCGTATCGAATAGCAAGATAAACACATGAAAACCACGAAAAATCCTACAAAACTAATTACATCTTAAAATTGATAGAAAGTGCAAGTAATTGTAATATATTTAATGATAATAGACTTTATAATAAATAAAGGTTTTGTGACTTTTCAAGGACGGATCTATGTTAAGTGGACGTTTCTAACCATCAAATAAGATCTCACGAATAAGATGTTTCAAAATAAAATGGAGTGAGACTTTATATTGGTTAGAGAGAGGAACGAAACATTTCTTATAATAGTGTAGAAACCTATCAGAGCCCGTCATCGAGGGCGTTAAAACGAACAATATCTACTAGCAATTGACTTGGGTTGTTACAAATGGTATCAGAGCCAGTCACCAAGCAGTGTAGAAACTTCTCCCTAGTAGCGTAATGGGCTAAAGCTGACAATATCTACTAGCGGTGAGTTTTGACTATTACAAATGGAGTATTCACCTTGTAAGGTTATTTGCACGTGTGAGTGTCGTGTATAGAGAATTACTATGCATCCAAACCTATCCGAAGATGAAATTTGAATTTATGACTATAGACAAGATTTTAAGTTACTTCAAACACGAAATCATAGTTGTATGTGTTCACATTTCCTAACTCGAATAGTGCTAACTTGTCTGCTTAATCAGTCATGCATGCAGTAGTAACCGTCTTATTTTCAAGGGTCAAATTGGATTTTCGATTCGGTCTATAGGGACCCTCCACCTCAACAGAGACATCCACCAACTATGATAAGAAAATGTCGTTGGTTAACTAGGTTCCCCTAACTTTTCCGCACCTGATAGCAACTCCGTCAACCTAGGATGAGAAGGGTTACTACAAGTGGTATGATGAGATTTGTATTTCAACTTGGTTGATTGTCGAAAAAGATATCCAAAAGGCTAAAGGAAGAACCAGTCACTTTATGTATGGAGGAATAGGATAGGAAGATCTCAACGTAAAGCTGGCACAACTCCGTGAAACTCGGGTTAGATAGATTCACTCTCACCAGCCTTCGGTACTCGCTTCCTTTAAGGGTTTTGCACTCTAAAAAAGAAGTAATTTGATTCTTCAGTTCATCTAGTGTGCGCCCGAGCGACAATAAAAGAGAGGCGTACCGTCTTGTTTTTTAAAAAAAACAAAAGAAATAGTTACTATTTATGTAAGATCTCACATATGTTGGAGAGGGAAGGGAAACGAAAGATTCCTTTTATAATCGGACCAAATATTATCTGTTTTTGCTGATTTATTTTATTACAATTTATTTGGTTCCATCATTTTTTTCAAAATTGATTTATTTGTTTTTTCTCTCGAAATGTTACTCCTAATATATTATTAATTAGTTAGTTAATTAATTAATAGTTTCATTTAATTCTTGGAGTAGCTTAATAACTATTTAATTAATTTAATTTAATAGATTTTATCCATAAGAATGAATTGGATAAATAAATAAAAAGTAAGCATTATTATCAATAAAAATTATGATTGTATTAATATTATTTTAATACAACATTAGTTAACGATTATAAATTCAATTCAAATATATCTTTTTTATACGATCGGGATTAAATTACAATTTTAGTTTATGAATTTTTACGACGATATTCATTGAACTTAAAAAATATTGTGTATGAGCGTGTGAAAAACCAACAACTAAAACACCCAACCTAATCAGTTGCTCGATTTTGATTAGGTTGGAAATATACTCAACAACGATTGATTAAAACACTTTTGGTAAACACAATTGGTTTGGTTCCGTTCTTGGATTCATAAGATTGGATCGGTACACGACAACCGAACTCACCCATGATAATATAAAATCATAAACTTCTTAAAATTATTATTAAACTAAGATTAGATTCACTCCATAATGAGATCCCGTTGGAGAGGGAAACAAAGTATTCCTTATTAGAGAGTGAAAATCTCTCCACAGTAGACACGTTTTAAAACTATGAGGTTTGAACTGTTACAAATGGTATTAGAGCCCAGACACTGTGCAGTATGCAGCGAGGACGCTAGGCCCTCAAGGAGGGTGGATAAGAATGTGGAAATCTCTCTCTAACAGATGTGTTTTAAAATCGTGAAGTCGAGAGTCAAAGCGTACAATATGTACAAGTAGTGACCTTGAAGTGTTACACTATTTAACGGAGAGTTAACGTACGATAAAGGCCTATAAAAGGCCCCATAAGTTTGGTACTCAGTCATCATCACAGCTTAAGATGAGCTGTGAGGAAGGCATTATGGGTGGTGATAAGTACAGAGCTTCGTTGCATTTGGAGGGTCCTACAGTTGAATGGAGGATGGGAAAGCCCCCAAATTATGAAGCTGTGAACAAGCTGTTTGAAGATGGAAGAACAAAGGTTGTTTCTTTTTGTTTACCAGATCTAATATCATCTGCGTTGCTTCATTTGTTGTGTGTTCTTCATAGGTGTGGCCAAAAGGATCTGTGGAAGAACAAGTGCAGAATATTATAAAATCATTGCAAATGGAGTTTGCTTACAAGACTAGACCACAAGATTTCAAGAACATAAACCTTCACAATTTCTTATGTTCTATCAATGGTAATTCATTTGTTTCTAGCACATTTATCTTCTAAATACGTTCTTTTTTTTCACACGTAAACGATAAAAATGAATAAATAAGTCCGAGTCTACCGCTAGTAGATATTGTCTTCTTTCGGGTTTTCCTTTCGAATTTCTCCTCAAAGTTTTTAAAACGCGTCTACTAGAGTACAGTGAATATTTTGTCCTCGTTCACACACTGCCCGTGGCCTCCCTTTAGAAGGAATCTGCTAGAGAGAGGTTTCCGTACCCTTATAAAAAATGTTTTGTCTTTATTGGCACACTGTCCGGTGGCTACCGTTTAAAAGGGTATGCTTGGGAGAGGTTTCCGTACCCCTTATAAAGAATGTTTTGTTTCTCTCTCCAACCGATGTGCGATCTCAAAATTCACCTGGAGTCCACCCCACTTTAAGGTCAACGTTCTCGCTGACACACCGTCTGGAGTTTATTTATCCCACTTCAGAACTCAGCATCCTTGTTGGCACACTGCCTAGTATCTGGCTGGCACTAATACCATTTGTAACAGCTCAAATATACAGTATTGCCCTCTTTGGGTTTTCCTTTTAGAGTTTAAATGAGTCTGCTAGTGAAAGATTTCAATATCGTTATAAAAAATGTTTTGTTCCCCTCTCCAAATCTCAAAATTCACCTGGAGTCTACCCCACTTCAGGGTCAGCGTCTTCGCTGGCACACCGCCTAGAGTCCATCCTACTTTAGGGTTCAGCGTCCTTGTTGGCACACCGCCTAGTATCTAACTGGCTCTGATACGATTTGTAACAGCTCAAGTTCATAGCTAGCAGCTAGTTCTCTTTGTGCTTCCCCTTTCGAACTTCCCATCAAAGTTTTTAAACTGAGTCTGCTAGAGAGAGGTTTCAATACCCTTTTAAAAAATGTTTTGTTACCTCATCCAATTGATGTGAGATCTCAAAATTCATTTAGAGTCCACCCCACTGGCCAGCGTTCTCGTTGGCACACGGTCTGGAGTCCATCCCACTTCAGGGCTCAGTGTCCTTGTTGGCACACCGAGCATCTGGCTGGCTCTTATACCATTTGTAACAACCCAGCCTACCGCTAGCAGATATTGTCCTCTCTGAGCTTTCCCTCTTCCAAGCTTCCACTTAAGGTTTTTAAAACGCATATGGTAGGGAGAGGCTTCTATACCTTGTAAAGAATGTTTTGTTTTGTTCTCACCTCCAACCGACGTGGGATCTCACACCATCACTCGCAAATATTGTCCTCTTCGACCCGTAACGTATAGCTCTCAGCCTCACAATTTTAAAACGCGTCAACAAAGAAGATGTTTTCACACCCTTATAAAGAATTGCTCCGTTCCTCTCTTCAACCGATATAGGATCTCACAATTTCCATCTAAGTTGATCATTTAGCTAATTTATAGAGAGTTCTTATCTTTCAATCTACTAAGTCGGGTCTAACGTATCACAAAACTAACCTAACTCGATTCATAAACACCCTTAATTACATGTAATTAAATTGTATTAAGAGAAGTAGTTTACAACTATTACTCTAAATTAAACACTAAAAGATTAATTAATTAATTACAGGAAGAACAGTCTCATGTGAAGAAGCATTGAAGCTTGGAAGCTTCAACACATTTATGAAGAATCCTTTACCACAGGAATTCCATTACTTCAAACCACAAGAAGAGACATCTGAGTCGACTCATAATGACTTCAAGACATGTTTTCCAAGAGGGTTTGCATGGGAAGTCATAGAGGTTTATTCTCCTCCTCCTTTGATTGCCTACAAATTTAGGCATTGGGGTTTCTTTGAAGGACCTTACAAATCCCATTCCCCAACCGGCGAAATGGTCGAATTCTTCGGCATGGGAATTCTCAAGGTAAGGTCGAGATTCAATAACGACCTTTCTTATCAAAAACATTTCTTATAAGCACGTGGAAACCTCTCCCTAGTAGATGCGTTTTAAAACCATGAGGTTGACGATGATACGTAACGAGCCAAAACGGACAATAGGTGCTAGCAATGAGCTTAGACTGCTACACAGAGAAAATTTGTCAAAACCACCACACCTGAATGGTGTGAAAGTTCTAGATATTTGACTATAATAAAAGATCAAATATGATATATATGGTAAACTATAATTCAGTACTAAATATCCTTAACACACACAAACGTATCCCTATACATATTTAATGTCACGCTCATAAATGGTCGGGGTCGGATCAATTTGTGTTCTCGTCGACTAATTGAAATGATGTTTATTTGGACAGGTGGATTCATCATGGAAGATTGAAGAAGGTCATGTGTTCTTTGATCCAGCTGAGCTATTTGGAGGTCTTTTGAAGGGCAAAAAAACAGCTGATTCGTCTGCCTCTGCCTGTCCACTCTTTGATCAGCTGAAGTAGTTCCACAAACACTGAAATGAATAAAAATGTGTGTCTCAGACATTCACACCACTATCCATTAGTTCTAATCTTGTTTGTTTGTAGTTCTTACGTTGTTGTTATGTTTGTTCGTTGTATCGTTTATGTCGGTGTCTATTAAATATGAATGATAATAAGTGTGGTTTGCATATGATATTAAGTCGGAGCGGTCTTTACATTCTTATAAGGAACGTTTCCTTACATTCTTCAATCGATGGGATCTCACAATCTACCTTATTTGGAGTCTGCGTCCTTGTTGGCACACTATTCGGTCGGTGTCTTGCTCTAATACAAAAAAAAAAAAAAAAAAAAAAAAAAAAAAAAAAAAATAATGTTCTAAGTTACGAGAATTAAATGAGAGGGAAAGTATCTAAGAAGTGTTAATTATATTATATTTAATAATAATAAACTCTCTAATTCACATACCAATTAATAAATTAGGGAATTTCATTTATGTTTGGTATTAAAAAATAGAATGTCATTAAATTTTCATTTTAAGTGTATTAAAATAGTTTCGTCCAATAACAATCGGTATGTTAGAAAAAAAAATTGTAATTATTTTCATTTAATTCTATTTAAATAAAATTAATCTTTTCACAAAATACGAAAATTATTTAAAGAAATTATACAACATACGAAAATTATACCTTAATTTAAAATAATTTTTTTACGAATGGTCTACATTAATTTACTTATAAAAAATTTATAATTTTAATTAATAAAATTATTAGTTCTAAGTAGTAGACTCAAAAAGCTTTTTGATTCATTTTGATTATAAAATTTTAGTTTTTAAAGAATGTTGTTTCAACTCAAAATATAATTTTTTTTTGTTTGGTAATGATTTGATGATAAGATTAATTTATTTTTACCCAAAATATTTCTACTAAATTATTTAATTAGATAAACTTAAACTATTAATTAATTAATTAATTAATAGTTTTATTTAATTCTTTGAGTAGGAGTAGGCTAATAAATAATTTGATTTAATTTAAATTAGATCAATTTATCTCGAACAATATTAAAAAAAAGACGAAATATTAAATAAAACAAAGTAAATATTAAAATTGAAAAACGTCCTATATATACTACCTATGGTCTAAGAATTTAAACACAATTATCCTATGCATGCATCATGACCTTTATTTTCGATGCAGTCATCACTCATACAGGGGTGTCTTGCTGAAATAGAATTAGCACACAGTTTTAAGAAATACTCACCGTAAGTGACTCCACTATTAGAGTTAAGGAATACAAACACATGCAACTCATGATTATCGTTAAAACCATTGTAGAGGTGGCTTCCAGTCTGGACAAAATTGGATACGTAGTACTTCTTTACGCATGTGTCACACATGCGAGCGTGAGCCCCCAAGCAGTTTGCACCCCCTAGACCCATCATAATCGGGTTCGTTGTCCAGAGGTCAACAAAACCCTGAGTATCATGCGACGCATGATGATCATCATCATCGCAATGTATGCGTCCATATTCATAAATGGGGAAGTAACCCAACCCAATGTATATACACATAAAATGCTTGAAGTCCCTATAGTTTTCATCCTTAAATTATTCTTATAACACAACCCTATGCATCATTCACACATTATCCTAGGTGATATGCATGCATTGACCTTCATATGTTCATCATCATTAACATCTATTTGGGTTGTGTCTTAGAAAACTCGCCGTCATAATGCATCATAGCATTTTGTACATGCACATCATTTAGTATGGAATAACATCATATTAAGTCATTTCATCACCATGCATCTTACATCATCACATCATCATATAGTCACGTTACATAAATCATAAATGACACGTGCAAGGGTCACTAGACACGTGTAGTCGTACATAAGACAAGTCTTCCAACTGAACTGATAGTAAAGCCACTTACATAGTTGGCCTTGACCGACGTTCTACGAAATTTGTAATGACCTATGGAGGTATTCTACCAGATTAAGAACTTCAATCTAACTCAGGAAGAAAAGTACATAATGGAAAGAACAAGCTAACAAAACCTTGTAGAGGTGTGGAACTAATCGTCAACAACCCACTTTATTTATTACTATTTTCTTTTACCGTGGTTACAAAGAAAATGTGTTTCAAAGCATTGAAGAGAGAGAGATGAAGCAGTCCTATAAAAGGCCCCATAACTTGGCTACTCAGTTCATCATCGCAGCTTCCAGTTTGGTTGAAGGAAATGGAATCCATTAAGATGAGCACTGATGAAGCCATTATGGGAGCTGATAAGTACAGAGTTTTCTTGCATTTGGAGGCCCCTACGGTTCAGTGGAAGCGGGGGCGCCCAAGTTATGAGGCTGTTAACAAGCTCTTTGAAGATGGAAGAACAAAGGTTGTTTCTTTTACTCTCCCTTTCATCAACTCATCTCTGTTGCTTGATTTATTTTGTTGGTGGTAGGTGTGGCCCAAAGGATCTGTGGAAGAAAAAGTGCAGAATATGGTAAAAACATTGCAAATGGAGTTTGCTAACAAGGCTAGATTACAGGATTTCAAGATCATAAACCCTCAGAAATTCCACGTTTTTGTCAATGGTAAGTTCTTTGTGTTCTTACTTATGATTGTAATCAATTTAGGTTAATTTCATGTCTCTCTGGAAGTGCAGGAAGAGAGGGAGTCTCAGGTGAAGAAGCAGTGAAGCTTGGAGTCTTTAATGTATTGCTCAAGAACTCTCTACCAGAGGAATATCATTACTTCAAAGCACAGGAAGAGACATTTGAATCAACTTGTAATGACTTTAAGACATGTTTTCCAAGAGGGTTTGCATGGGAACTTCTTCAGGTTTATTCTCCTCCTCCTTTGATTGCTTACAAGTTTAGGCATTGGGGATTCCTTGAAGGACCTTACAAAACCCATTCCCCAACTGGTGAAATGGTCGAATTCTACGGCATGGGAACTCTCAAGGTAAAGTCGACATTCTGTGCCTTTATGCGTATTTAACATCGGGTTTATGAATGTTCGGGTCAATTTGTACTCTCATCCACTAATCTAAATCAAAGTTTTGATGTCCTAAATCCCTTCATTCTTATCTTTTCACCAGCTTCATGTTATATAATCTTGTATAATAGTGATATTTGCGCAGGTAGATTCATCAATGAGGATTGAAGAAGCTCATTTCTTCTATGATCCAGCAGAGCTATTTGGAGGTCTTTTGAAGGGCAAAAAAACTGCTACTGAATCAAAAGCTGTTGATTCATCTCCCTCTAGTTGCCCATTCTCCAACCTCCAGAACTAATTCCACAAACACAAAAAAAAATGTCTGAAATAATATATATATACATATATGGAGAATAAAGAACTTTGTAGCTCAGCTATGGGTTAACAGTTCTATGTTTGTTAATTGTATCCTTTCTGGTGCATATTAAATAATATGAATGATAATAAGTTAGTTGAGCATGCTCACTTCCACGAATTACTATCATTATTTATGCATGTAATATTTGCATGCCAAATACCCGTCTCACCAAAATAGAAATACCATGAAAGGAATTTACAACTCAAGGCTCGAGTATACATCAATATTGCCTACAAAATTTAAATCACACCATTGACTTATTTGTTAAGTTTGAACAATTGTCGCAGAATTGTTGCCACAAGAGTGCGATTGTAACAAATGGTACCAATCTCATTAAGTAACCATTCCCAAGGAAGAAGGAAGCAAGGAGACTCTAATAAATTATATATTAATTTGGAAGAAGGAAGCAAGGAGACTCTAATAAATTATATATTAATTTGAAAATGAAAAAGAGAAGAATTGTTAATAGTATATTCTGGATTCTTTGATACAAAAATTAAATTAATGATTATAAAAGCTACAACTGCTCTAATGCACAAACTTTAAAAATTATTATACAAACATGATTGTGAAGTAAATATTGGAATAAACCACAATTAAAGAAAGACCTCACTTCGCCGAAGGTCTGCCTTAGGGTCCATTCCATTTTGGCATTCGTCCATAAGAGCTAAACTTAACATTTCAGTACAGAACTGATCGTCTGGTTTCAGCCACAAAGCCTGATTCACAAACAAAGAACATATTACGGAAAAATCAGATCCATGAAGCCTCAAATCAAATATTATGCACAAATTCTCAGTATTAACGTCCTTTCATTGCATGAAAATGGCAATACCATCAGACTACATTGTGTTACAGACTAGTCCATTAACGTTTTACTGCATCTGATTTCATAATTCTGATGTCCCCAACATATTAATATCAATGGTCTCTTATAACTCATATAATTGTCAAAAACAAAAAAAAAAATCCATTACAACAAATAAGTCAAATTTGTAAGGTAAGTGTGAGATACTACATCGGTTGGAGAGGGAAACGAAACATTCTTTATAAGAATTTGGAAACCTCTCACCAGCAGATGCGTTTCAAAAACCTTAAGGGGAAGCCCAAAAAGGAAAACCCAAATAGAATACTATCTGCTAACAGTGGACTTGGGTTGTTACAAATGGTATTAGAACCAAACACCGGGCGGTGTGCCAGCGAAGACGTTGGACTCCGAATGGGGGTGGACACCGGACAGTGTGCTAGGGAGGACACGGGGCCCCGAAGGGCCGGGTGGATTGTGAGATCACACATTGGTTGGAAAGGAGAACAAAAACAAATGTTAGTGAGGACGTTGGGCCCCGAAAGGGGGATAAATTGTGAGATCCCACGTTGGTTGGAGAAGGGAACAAAACATTCTTTATAAAGGTGTACAAATCTCTCCTTAGCAGACTCGTTTTAAAAACATTGAGGAAAACCCGAAAGGGAAAGCCTAAAGAGTACAATATCTGCTAACGGTGGGCTTTAGCTGTTACAATAAGAATGCATAATAGTCACGAAACTAAAACCAACTTACCTTATGGTAATATATAATGGCTGCAGTAAAATGATCCTGCAAAACAGGACAAATAGAATTTTATTTTAAGAACCTTAGACACAAATATAGAAATGCGTAAACCAGATACTAGTGTTTGAAATATTCAAGTACCTGCAAATGATAAGTATACGCAAGGCCAGCATAAGTGCTAAGGTTTCTTGTCGATAAGGCAAGTGCCTTATCATAGTACACGATTGCTTCACGGTACATCCTGGCACAAAAACAAATAGTGTCAACCAAATTTGAATGAAGCCGGTAATAAA